GCAGAGTAGCAAGATTAGAAGGTAATATTGTGAGGCAAGAAATGTATTCAGCCTATGAAAAAAGCACAGAGGAGTTTTTCATAGGTCTTCAATAATGGTCAGGAATTTTTTTCTGCTACAGTAGTAATGATTAGGAAGTATTTTTTTCAACTTCCCTTATACATCCCCAGGTTACATTACACTGTAGAGATATGGTTAATTTGTGTTGTGTCTCACATGGGTGGGTTACATGACTTCAGGAGAGGTCCTTTGTCAGACAGCATATTCTAGTACCCACTTTGAGATTGTTTTCCAATAAACTTGATTTGGAAAACATCCTGTCATATCTCTTTAATGCTTAAGTTTGCGAAGAGCTTTAGAATTCTCAGTGAATTGCTGCATGTGGGATACATAACAACATTGTTGACATAAGGTGGTTAGGTTAAACTGTGAATCAAAATCAATCTGTAATCAGTCACGATTTTATTAAATAACCTAAAACTAAATGCAAGTGGTTATTTTAAATTTTTTAGCCTTTTTTTATCTGAAGTAAAATATTACCTTTTTTCAATGCATTTCTTGGTTTTCATTATGTTGTCAGTGTGCACAATAAAATTCAAAAATCATGTACTGAGTACTAAAGCACAAGTATATTCATGGTCTGGTTTGATTTCAGTTTGTATCAAATACTGTAAAAGTGATGTGAAAACTTGTTTTGCACTTGTTTGCACCATGGTTTATTTTTTTATTATATTTTTAACTTTACCGGGTAGGTAGTGTGCATGTTGATTCATTTATTGTTTTACCATTGAAGTCATCTCTGCTTAAATACTGTTGTACTTTTGCATGAATAATGTTTACAGGTAATGGACTTGATTTGCCTTGTGCAAAAACCTGGGGGCAGAGGGACTATGATATTCTGGAACACCCTCCCAGGAGGGTTTTCTGAGTTCTGGAAATCACATTTCACAACACTTTGATAGAGATGTGATTTGATCCACTTCACCTGGAATTTTTAAGGGTTCTCAAGTCTTAGTTGTTTTTGGTTCATAGACCTTTCCAAATTAAAGGACCTCTTATTTGAAATCTGTAAGAGTTCTAGAAGGTATGTGCTTGAAATGGTGCTTGTTGTCAACATACTGCTTCCTGTACATGTCTGATCTGTGCCAACTCCTGATATTGGTGACGCTGTTATTTCTTTGCAGTATGATGACTGAGTGTGCAATTTCATAATTTACTGCACTGAAGTTTGTTTAGTTTGTGTTTTGGGGTGGGGTTTTGGGGGGGGGAGTTGAAGGGGAGGGAGAATTTTGGATATCGTTTGGGTTTTTTATCAACAGCTTCTAGCAGTTCTGGATATTCACAGAATTGTTGGCCTTAGTCCAGATAATTGCAGTAGTGTGACATCAGGATTCTCATATCTAAGGAGATGAAAACAGTCATGGAGCATTTTGTTTTCAAGATAGCTCTGTATTGCTTGAAGAGTTTAAGGAAATTCCTTATTCTCTCTTTTTCCTAAGGAGATGAAAGCCCTAAACAGAAATCTTAGTGAAGCAATCCCTTGACTTTTTTTAGCTCCTCTCCTCCCCTCCCCCATCAGTATAGCTGACTACCTGTGGAATGTTTAAATCCTCCTTCAAGGAGATTATAGGTAGATACTGTTTTGAGTATGTTCAAGCATGCTGTCAGTCAGCAGGGGAGTCTCCACAAGCTGTTTGCATTTAATGATTTTACTCCGCCTTCAGTCATGTTTGTGATTGGGTTATGTTCTGTGTCAGAAATAGAGGACTCCTTTAGCTATCTGTGGATGGATTTGACAGCTACTTGTTCATCAGCAGGAGGGCATTATTTTTTGTTGGTTGGTGGGGTTTTTTTCTATCCTTAGCTTTTTTCTTTTCTGGGTACTTGAATCTGATGTATTTTCTACATTTACATCTATTTACTTTGAATCCATGCTTGTCTTTCCTTTCTAATGTTTATCTGCCATGGTAGCTTAATGATTAATTCAGTTTTTAACTGAAGTTCTTTTCAGTCTGGCAATACTGACTAGCTCCAAACAAGATAATTTCTAGTCCAGCACTGGCTTTGAAATTACCCAAAGCCATTACTGCCTAATGGTTCCATAGGTTATAAATACCTGTGTCATTGCTTGCTTTCAGAAGAAGCTTTTCCAGAATCTGCTCAGTTATTCATCTGTCAAGGCTAGGTTGCTGGATCCACGGGTTTTTTTTTTCTGTGTTGGGTGTAGTCAAGTACATGGATGATCATTAGTCTTCCAGGATACAGTGCTTTAAAAAAATGAATTGCTTTTCCTGTCACACTGGTTTACATTGCTAGGTGTCTCTTGAATCGTTACTGCTTTAGTTCTGACAGTTATTTAAACTTAGCATAATTATTTTTGGTATTAGGATGGGTACAGGCAATTTATTTTAGATGCTGATGCCTCAGAGTTATCTACCGTTTGAAGTGTCACGTGTCAATTTACACTGACACCCCTTTCTTCATGGCACTTTTTGTAGTCCAACCAGCCTGTTGAAACTAGTGTACTGTCTTCAACTGTATTGAATTATTTTTAGTTAATCAACATTAGAAAATACCCTGTGGTCCCCTGACTTCTGTCTCCAGACATCATGCTACAGAAATACTATAATGAGAAAATACAGGTAACACAGGTGCTGTAGAACACTGTGAGAAGTGTAATACAGACATAGCCAAATGACTTAATGCAGCTACCTTCTGTCCTGCGGGATTTGAGCTGCACGTAGCCCTAGACTGGCTGATCCTCTTGGCACTTCTGTGGGACTAAGTGTCTGTCAACTTCCCACACCTTCCTGTGAGACAACAGTTTATGTTCATGAGGTCCTAGAGTCTTGGTGCCTGGCAGAGAAATACGCAAGCAGTTTTTTGTTGAGCCCTATCTAGCTCAGCTGTAGTTAATAAACCCATCTGTTTGATTGTTTGGAGTTACTGAAGTCTATTTCCTGTTTCAGCAATGCTGAAGCACAGACTAACTTCTCGTGAATCGTGTGGTTCAGTTGCTGCTGAACATGTAGTTGACATTTTCAGTCAGAACGTGTCTGCAAGCAGGGCTCTTCTGCCCTTCAGAACTGTGTCCTTCGAAAGCTGGGAAATCTTTCAGGACAGCTTTCTCTAAACCCAGTAACAGTGCATCCCAGTAGTTAGGAAAATGGGCAAATGTATCAAGAGACCAGACTTGTCAAACAGGGAAATTAATGACTGAGCTCTGGTGGGAAGGGTAGGGAGAGAAATTAGCGTCCGTGGATGTAGATAAGGCTTAAATTCTCAGTGTCTGCTCTGCATTGATCATCACAGACAAGGTCTCATAGGCCTTTGTTCCTGGAGATGGGGTTTGAAGGAGGAGAGAAACTAACAGTACTACAAGAAAATTACGGATCTCTTGAGAAATATCAAGTTCATGGGATTAGATGGGATGTTTCTGAGGGTAGAGAGAGCTAGCTAGTGCTATTGCAAGCTAGCTTTCTCTTTGAATAGTTGTGGAGATCAGGGGTAGGCCTCAGTGACTGGAGAAAGACATGCTGCAGCCATCTTCCAGAATGGCAGGAAAGTTGATCTGGGGAACTGCAGGCTGGTCAGCTGCACTTTGGTCCCTGACAAATTGTGGAACAAGTGCTTGGAAGCCATTTCTAGTCATATGAAGGTCGAAACAGTAATAAGGGTTAGCAAGCATGGATGTACCAAGGGTACTTGTCAGACATTGTCTGCTGTGATGGTAAGACTTGAACTATGGTTGAGGAGAGAAAAGCAGGGATCTACCTTGACTTCTACAAGGCTTTCAGCATGGTGTCTGAGAGCATCCTTGTGTCCCATTTGGAACATTACAGTCTAGATGAGACTGCCAGATAGGTAAAAAGACAGTATGGATAATTTTGCTTGGAGAGTCTGATTTAGGATGTGTCATGCTTAGTATCTTATTTGTTACCTGGCACATACAAGAATGCACCCTCAGCAAGTTTGCAGGTCTTTGAAATGGAGGGATTTGCAGGCAGGATGTTAGAACACATAGCTGCCGTCTGCATGGACCAAAATTTCTCACAATTCACAACAAAAGACCAAACCACCTTTCCATCATATAGAACACCAGGGGAAGAAAAGGGGAATAATACACCAGTTCTTTGTCGCATTTCTTAAATGAAACAGCATCTGTGGCATTGTTCGGAGAACCTAAAGTTCTGCATTCTCCTCCAGTGTTTAATTCCATGCATATATATGGATACTTCTTTCTGTTCTGAATGAATGCTTTATAGGTTTGTTTTGTGAGTTTGAAGTTAAGCTATACCAAGTCTGTATCAGAAATGGCTAGAAGGTATCATTCACAGTTGTCTAGCTTTTTAACTTTCTATAAATTTTTAACCTCCTCATTGAAATTCTTTGGCAGAAATTTGGGGGCAGGGCATTTCTCACGTGGTCAGTAACACACTGTTCAATTTTGTCTGAGAGTTATTTGAAAGTCTTCATTTTGTGTTTCTCAATCGTATCTGACAATATAATATTAAAAATATCGAATGCTGTTCCTTTGTTGTTGCAGTTACTGAAGACAGGCAATATAGCTGCTAGTAGACTAGCTAATAGACACATAGGGTGGTTGTTTTGTGTTCTTGGTGATTTGGGGGTTCTTTTTGCTTGGGTGATTTGGTTTTGTTGTTTGGGTTTGTTTTTTTATTTTTTTAAGGAACATGACCCCAGGTACTCTCCTTCTGTCTCTCACATCAACTCTGTAAAATGTCTAAAGCCTTGGTGAAAAAAAGGGTGGATAATTGGGGAAAAAACTAAGGTTTAGACTTGGTAATTCTGCTGGTTGTGAGGAATTGTGTACTCTGACTCAAGTCACATGATAGAGATTGCATGTGAATTGTTACTGAAAGATTAGGGAATTCTTATAAGCATTTAATGCAAGGCATGCTGCTCTTTAAGTGTATGAAATCACCTCTATAGAGCACTTTGTGTTTTCAGTTTCTTTGTACAAGTAATTGTGTGTTTTATTTCAGATCATGGAGCAATGTGGTGCAACAAGACTTGGCTATTTTGGAAGAAGTCAATTTTACATTGCTTTGAAACTTGTTGCTGTGGCCCAGTCTGGTCTCCCTCTAAGAGTGGAAAGCTTAAATACAGGTAAATCACAGGACTGAGGGGAAATTTAGTTGCTGAGCAGAATTACTTTACTTGACTCACAGATTCTTGTAGAGTGGCCTTGTAAATTGGTGTGGTATGTCTTTTTATACATATCTCTGACTTAAAAAAAATACTGCGGAGAGACTACGAGGGAGTGTATTCTTACTGTGCAAAAAATAATGTTAATATCTTACTCTTATTCAGTAAAAGTATTGTGTTCATCATAGAGTAAATGAACACCTACACATATGACCATTTTGTAGATAAAAGTTCATTCTATAGATTACTAATGTGAGAACTTGCGTGCTATGTCCTCTGAATAAAGTACTAATGGGACTAATGTGAATTTCAAGAGAAAGAATGATGTGACACTTGCAGGCTTTTGTAGTTGCTGTGCTTATGAAGCCTTGATTTCAGCAAATGAAAGGTCATTTTTCTGAAGTCATATTCCTTCACGCTTGGCTTGACAATTTTCTCCTTTCTTGGCACAGATATGAAGATTGCTGGTTTAAGATTTATTTTTTTTTTTCCTCTAGTGAAAAATCTGACCTGTAAAAGATCTTTGAAGTCTGTTATCAGCCAAAACACCTGTTATCCTCTTTTTCAAAGGTCAGCTGTGGTTGGAGCAGTGAAATACAAAAAGGAGAAAGGCTTGCTCTAGGAAGATGGTTCAGAACAGCAGAAAAAGCTTTGATATGAGGCTCTACCGTAGCCTTCAGAGTGACATAAGTGGATCCATGTTGATGCTGTTCTGTAAGATGAAAAGAGACTTAGGAAGATGAAGTAGTGAGTTTTAAGCCACTGTAGCCTTTTGCGGTGTAGTATGTGGCTCACAGCTGAAAAATATCTTAGGAGCACAGCTTTGCATTGAGGTGACTTCCCTCGTAGATTTTATGTCTGTAGAAATTATATAATTGATATATGCTAGTAATTAAAAGAAAGCTTAGGGATTTATCTAAAGCATGTAAATTAAACAGTAGTTAAAGATTGTTAAAACCAATCCAATAGGACTGAAGTATTTGACAAAACTATAAAAAAAACCGAAGAGAAGCGTCATGTACACTTTTACAATTATGTTTATTTGAGGATTGTACAAACAGTATGTACTGCTTTCATGGGTGGTTTTTTTAGCTTTTTGGAGAAGTGCGTAGTTTCAGTCAATGTTTTGCTAGCATTCAAGTTCCTTTCTGTTCATAACCCACCCAATGTTTCTAAAGCATTTTCCTGATGAGCGTTCCCAAATTTTTCAGCAAGTTGCAGCAGAATGCCCTAGAATCAGAAAGTTGGAAAAGGGTCCTTCGACTCTTTAATATCTGATAGAACTGGGACTTCATATAACAATTGTGGGATTTCTCATCAAATGCCCATTGAAGAAGGCAAAGACTAAAATCTGTGTATGTAGCTTTTTTCTGAGTTTTTATGTGATCGGGTTTATTTTAGTGCAAGATACCTGAACTTGAAGGAGCAAGGAGCTTTTCTATTTACCAAAAAAAAAAAAAAATCAGAAGAAATTTGAAGGAAGGAATTAATTCCAAACTACAAAATATGTTGTAATATTAGCAGCCATTGGAACTGTTATGATGGAATACATTTTCTTGATTCACAATAATACTAGAAATAGTTGTAATGGTTTCTGGACTTCTAGGAATAATTTCTGTAACTGGTTCCAAACCTACTAAATACATCAAGTATAATTGTCAGAACATTTATTTTTGTCCTAACTGTTTTTAGCTCTGGTTGTCTGTTGCCTTGGTTGCAGTGGTTCCAGTCCTGTCTATGAAGTTCCTGCTTCTAGGATGATTCACGTGTTGTAGCAGCTACTAAATAGCTAAAATAGAGCAGGCTGAAGACTCATAAAATGATTCTGAGCTTGTGTTACCTTTCTTTTGAAAACTGGCTCAGCAGGCTGGCCACAGTCCATCTCCAAGAAGTCTGGAACAGGAACTGTCAGAACCATCCCAAGCTAAATCATATATCCCTTCTTTTTTCAAAATAAACCAGTTACAATTAGTTAAAGCTTATGTTTTAGGACATCTACTTTTTAGGTCTGCATTCTATGCATGTTTTATTCCAGGATTTTTTTTTTATTGTTATTCCCTCTGTCATCTTCATATTTTCTCTCCCTTTCTCTTCTTGTTTCTCTTGCTCTTTGGTTCACCATGTGTCTCTTCAGTAGACAGGAATGTGAGTTGCTGAGTGCAGACAACAGTCAAATTTTGAGTACCAAGTCCATCCAGCACAAGTGTCATCCAGTTGATTCTCTAGTTAACTGAGTGCTTTTTTGATTACTCAGATGTGCAGTGTAGTAAAAATACTAGTTAAATTATTCTACTAAAAGCCTCTAAATCTGTTGTTCCTTTGCTGTCCCAGAAAATTTTCTTTTTGGGAAGTTGAGAAATCAATGAGCCAGTGTGTATTTCAAATTAATGTGTATTTTCTAAGTATGGAATGCAGGTTTTGGTGGAGGAAATTGTTAACAAGGATGTGAGCATTAAAAGTACAGAGAACTTTCTAATTTATTCAGTATCAATATTCTGTTCATAACAGTATCAGTCATTCTGTTGCATTTATAATTGAGGGATTTCTGAATGGCAACAAATGTGGTGTTGAAATGAGGTTTTTCTGCTGTATGGGGAAAAGACAGGAGAGGTAAAAATGGCAAATTTCAGTTGATGATGTAGAAACTTAGTACAGCAAGACAAACCTGTCCATCTGGTTTTGTCTTTATCTAGTCTTGTTTTTAAAGAAGACTGTACAGTAATTTGTGTTCCTTCTGAGCCTTCCGTATTATTTTGTGAATTAGTGCTGGATACCTCATGCCAAAGCCTTGTGTTGGAACAACTGATTGCATAGATTTGCATAGAATTGCATAGATTGCCAGTTGGATGTTCTATTGTCTATGTTTTATTCCCTGTTTTGCAAGCATACAAATTTTCACTTTTTCATGCAATGATTTTTTCACTGTTTGGCTGGCTGTAGTTCACTGTTTAGCTTAGTGAATAACTTTCCTAGTGCAATATGGGGTACAATGCTGATGTGAAAATTGGCATCTAGGAATGAGGAAGGCATCAGGGATTGCTTTAACAGTGTTTCCACATGATAGGTAGCCACAAATTTAGCAAAGAGGCTGTGTTGCATACTCCTTCCCTGTGATGAAATCTGTTTAACATGTTGAATTGTGCTTAGTGACAGAGGCTTAAATCAAGAATTCTATGTTTTTACTGAAGCATTGCTTTTTAATGCTGTGTACATAAAGATGTCTATGGATACATACTTGTTGAATGCCATGGATTCAAATTACACTCTTCAAATACAAATCAGTTTAATGTTTAATTTTGATGTAATAAACTGGATACAGTTTCATCTCAAATCTTAATACGGTTGGTATTTTTTTGACTTGACTCATTTTCAATACCAAAAGTAATCGATGTAAGCAGTCAGCAGGAGAAATTAAATTTGAGTCATGCTTGTAAATTTGTTTTGTGTTGGAAAAATAATTTCCAAGTAAGCTGTGCAGCAAATTTTTCAATTTATTTTTTTTATTCACGGTGGACCAGTAAGAAAATTGTGGCTGGGATTCATAAAAATGATAGGAATCTTACAGTGAAAAACTGAAGACTTGCATAGCCTCATTTTTATATCAGGCTACTCTGAACCATGGTACATAAAGCTAAGGACCTCCTACTATCTTGTAGAAAATTTGCTTTATAGGTGTTTATGACAAAGTATCCCAGTAAAACACCTAATTTAGCTTCTATTGTAGAAAGATGTACACAGGTGCGTTTAAGCAACACAAAGCAAAGTTACAGTGTTTGCAATAAGACTAGATGATATTATCTGTTGTGAATTTAAACATGACATCAGATCACTAAAAGATATTGAATATACTGTAGTATTTTAGCATTTGTTTTGCTGTATGAAGACTCTCTGATTTTTTTATCTGTGGTAGAAATTGTAGGTAAGTCTTGAAAATAACACTTCGATAGTCATATGTTTGCAAAACTAAGAAAAAATGAGCTAAGTGCAAATTATCGATTACTACTGCATTTAATGCAGAGTTGTATTGCTACACTTACGGAGCTGTGTGAAGTCCTCTGTATACCAAAACCAGAACTTGAGTAGCAGAATCATGGAACATAATGCAGAAAGAATATTTGCTGTTTTCCAGCTGGCAGATTTTAGCTCAAGTATAGCAGCAGTCTCAGTGTTTTAAGTAATTGAGGCATGTATAAAATTTTAGCTACAAAACTACAGAACTGCATTTTTATTTTCAAGCATCATACTTCTGCATGGTAAATGGCCTGTTCTATTTTTTTTTCTTTTTTTTTCTTTTTTTTTTTTTTTTTTAACAGTAAAGGACCTCCCTCTTCCCAGATTTGTTATGACAAAGAATGAACAAGAATCAAGACACGCAGCCTTGTATTCTTCAGATGCTGATAACTCAGCTTCATATTCAGGTGTGATTCCTCCTCCACCTGGCAGGATACAAGTCAAAAAAGGCTCTGTGAGCCATGATGCAGTTCAGCAACGTACATCAACTGATCAACAGGTAAGTTAACTTAAAAGATTAAATAGGACTCTTGATCACTACTTTGCTGCTTAGGTGTAAATTTCATAGGGCTTCTAAGCTTTGTTGCTTTCAAAATAGTTTCTTAAAAAATTCCTACTGATGTATGTTATACATGAAGACTACATGCTTCTGAAATATTTACATGTAGGAGACATTTTTTATGAAGTCTTACAATCTGATTAAAATACTGGTTGTAATGGACAGAATTGAGACAGAAAAGAAAATCAATCTCTAAGATATGATAGCAAATATCAAGTTGTCATCATTAAAATATTAATACCTTGTTTATTAGATCACATTGGCTTCCTGGTGATTGGAACAGCAGTACTGAATGCCTTGGAAGACTGGATTTCTAGTTCTTCAACATGCTCCAATACTTTGAAATCTGAAATACTTTACTTAGAGATATTTTTTAAAAATCTTACAGGTTTTCTCTGCTGTACATCTTACTGTTCAGCTGTTTAATTATTAAGTAGTGGCAGTGTGAATCAGAAATAACGGACAAGTTTTCACATAGCTTTATACTGCGTTCTAGTGATAAGAGTACTGATTTCCTTTTGCTCACTTGTTCTTTCATCTTCAGCTGAGTAAATGAAAACTGTAAAGACTCACAACTCTCTGCCTCCTCATAATTCCTTGGGGTTTATAGGCTTTACGCTCTCTTTTTCTATGGGTAAATCTTTTCTGATTGTCTTTTCTACAAGCAAGAACACTGAATACAAATATTAAATATTGGTTAGTGTATGTGTCTGTGTGCATAACTGAATGACTTTTCTTCCCCATGGTATGCTGTCTTTTGAGCTTGTTTTGTAAAGAGTTGAGGAATTTGCAAACATACTTTAGTCTCTCTGGGACTCAAGAAATAGCTCATAGATGTTTATTAATCTCTCTGGGAATAGCACAAACTAATCCAATATCAAGAAAAAGCAAATTAGCAGTGGCAATCCATAATTAGTGTTTGGCTGCCACTTCCTTTCTCCCAAAATGGAGATGGGGACTTTAACAAAAAGAGGGCTGGCAGTAGATCTGAAAATAGCTTGTCGTCTGGTTTGGGTAAGTGTGTTTGAGAGGCGTCCCAAGTGCTTCACAAAGAATGAACAATTGCAGATCTTCCTGATCTGTTGATGGGGTTTTAGTTTGGTTGAAATAGTGTTTTGTATGCTTCCATCATGGTGCTGAGTTTGTTTAGTGAGCAGCTGCAATTTGATACAGGAATCTGTACTGGTGTAACTTTAAAATAACAAAAAAAAGTGATGTATGAGGTCTTCAACTTCTGGATAAAGAAGCGACATATTCACAAAGATGTATAAGCACCCGAATTTCATTTCTCTGTCTTGCCTGACAGAAGCAGTGTGGTATCTCTTTCACACACGTCTGTATAGATAGGATCATCAGAAAAAAGAAACTCTGTTTATAAGTTTTTTGAGAGATCTGCCCCAGAAAACAGACTTGAAGCAAATGTAATGGACAACACAATAAGTTGTATTCATGGTCTAGAACATCAGGGATGTATTGTCTGATTTTGCACCCCATTGTAAAGTGCATTTTCTGTGGCTGATTCTACATTGCTGACTGTATAATGAATCCATTCAAGTAGCCTTCTTGTCCCAGTCTAATATTTATAGATTTGGACACTGTGTTACAAACAAGCTGAGAAAGGGCTTTATTGCTTAACCACATAAATACCACTAATTGGTTTATTTTCCAAAAGGTGGATACAGCTTTTATCCATGCTTTTGTATAAACTGCTGATCCAGTTGTCTTTACCTAGAGATATCACTGAAATTTGTAAAGTCTAGAAAGAAGTTAAGACAGTGAATTCTCATTATATGCCACCTCTCTCAGTGATGAGGAGGAGCAGAGCCGAAGTCTGAGAAGTAAATTACTGCATGTCATTTTCCTAGGGATGACTGTTCTTCGAGCAGGAATTCAAGTGTCAAAATAAAGCTTGGGTATTTCACTCATAGAGCTTGTCAAGTAGCCTGTTAGATATTCAGTTAGTGAATCTGTGTTCGGTTTTGGTTTTGCTGTTCTTAAACTCTTTAAAGGCTTTGATAATATTTCTGGCACTTCAAAATACATTGATCGCATAAAATACTCTGGCTGAAATATTGTTTGTATGAAATCATAAGATATCTTAATCTTTGTTTTTAAAAACCACTTTCGTTCATGTGCAGCTTCTGTATTAGTGAGATATATCATGCATAGGTTAGTCTCTTACAATAAGAAATTATTTATGTAAAAGAATTTTGCTTAGAGTATTGTCTACTGAAATGTCTTAGCTAATACTGTTTCTTCATCAATGCATTATTTTGGTAGCTCCCCTCAGTGAGCTTCACTTGGAGGAAGCGTGTTGGAAAATGGCAATGAGGTTGTGTTTCCAAAGGGTAGCTAGCTATAAGTGAGGTCATCTTTAAAAGTAAGCATGGGCCAAGTTCCTTTTTCTATCTCTGTCCATTTCTGTGGAGGCATTTTTAGTTCATAATGGCTATGTACTATGTAAATATAGCACTGGCCAGAAGATTGTCTTTATAATATTGTTGGTGTTAATAGAAGATGACTGAAGTCATGCCCAGGTGTCATGGAAGCTGCAGAACTAATTCTAGGAGTCAAGCCAAATAATGAAAGATGGCTTCACTCAGTAGGTGACATGTTGACTGCATGTCTTAGTGGAGATAAAACACTGAGAGAATTTTTTTCTTCC